TTTCACAGAGCATGTTTTTTCTCATGAGACTAAAACAGCATCACCCTACTGTGCTGATACATCTGTTTATTTCCTCAGTAAAGCCATATCCTTGCTATTCCAATTAATCATGAGCCTTTGTCGTCCCATCTCTTCCCAATGATCTTCTTTCCCCACTCCAGAAATTTTTCCTCACTCTTAGCTTTTCTCAAGAAAACAGTCAAGAACAGTCTATCAACAGAACGCAGACAATGAATCTGATCAAATTTCACTAATTATTAAACAAGATTCAAATATAATTCATGTCTGCATTTTTGTGCCTCTTTGTGTTGTTTTTGAAAGAGTTCTCCTGATACTTCCTCTTTGTTGCATGCCACTGTGGGCACACTGAGTCAGATTACCTTACTATATAAGCTGTCTTGAGCAAACCTGACCTTACACCGTTCAGAGAAGTCACCTCTTATCAATTACCATTTCAGCATAAATTGACCCATTCCATTAACTGTTAAAGCCTGAATTTAATCAGAATTCCTAGAAGCTCAACTCCCTTTCATTTGAAGTAGTGATACCGCTAAAACAATAAAACATTACAGCTAAGGATGACATTTCAGTAATCTTAACCCTTTTGTGATCCACGGGACATATATCGCTCACCAACATTTTCAGCCTGTCAGGTTTCTTGGGAAGCTGCTATCCTTGCGCTAGCACATGCTGCTGCCTGGTGAGGACCTGTTTAACTGCATGAATCTGAAGAAATTGGCTTCACCCCCACCAATCCTACCACTAGAGTCCACTTGGGACATCTGTGTCCCACATAATTATATCAAAATCCATGTTATCTAAAAAAAAGTTTTTCCTTGATTTCAGCATGCCTTCTTTTCCATTACTGAAACCACAGGATGTCCACACAAAAAAAATTCAAAGCAGAAAATAATTGTCATGAAAAGTTAAAGCAAACACTAAAAGCTGATATTCTAACAGTAACTATATCTTTGACTATAATAAAGGTTTTATGTTTTGTTTTGTTTCTGCCTAAAAAAAAATAAAACAAAAAAACCTTAACCAAACATTTTAGTTAGGACCATAGAATATACATGTACCCTGTGAAAAATCACAAATGCTTCTAAGTTGGTAACTGGGGTAAATATATCAGATCTTAGAACATTTTCTTAAATACTAATAAATAAGTCTTTCTTGGGCCTTCTATTTTTTTCCATTTTGTGGCTAGACAGAACCTGTCAGTTCACATCAACATGTCCGGTTATGCAAAAATGCAATGATAGTATCTTAAGAAATGTTAGCAACTCTATTAGCAATGAAATAAATTGTAGAGAAAAACACATTCAGGTCCACTTCCAAAACTTAAGTAAAAATACTTTAGCTATATTCTGCTGAGAAGAACTTAATGTTTTATACATGTCAGGGAAGTAGTAAAGTTAAAAGGATCAAGTGCTGTATTACAGAGACAAAACTGGAATAATGTCCTTTGTTTATCAAGAATGGTAAGAGACCTGGTATAGAGGACTTCTATGGTGACTCTCAAACAGCTCATCTTCAGGAGGAAAAGGTATTTTTCAGGCCAACGGAGCCTATTTTGGGGGTCAAGCCTGAATAAGGCTCACATTTCATGTAGCCCAGTTATCATCTGTGCCTTTCTGATTCATGTCCAGTGCTGTGTAGAACATTAAAGGCAGCTTACGGACCATGCAGGAGCTCTGGTAGCATAGTGTCTAAGGCATTTGACTGCTAATCAGACATCTGGCAGTTCAAACCAACCAGCCACTCCTCAGAAGGAAGGTTCAGCAATCTACTTCTGTAGTGATACCGCCTAAGAAACCCAAGGAGGGGTTGCTATGAGTCGCTATGCTACTCGACGGCAGTGAATTTGGTTTGGTTTTATTTTTTACGGACCATGCATATCTTTTCATTTGAAAGCATTCAGAGGAAACAATAATTTTTATAGATATTAGTGTTTTAAGGAAAAAGATTTAGAACAAGCACTTGTTTTACTTTTCTTTAGGCAATAAAATGACAAGCGATAGTACTTAAAGTTCAACCTGGTTTATTTATCCTAAGTAACAAGTCAGAAGTGGCTGCCTAATAATCAAAATGTGAAATCCTTAAAATCCTACATCCAAGAATGAATATGAAGCTATACTGGAGCAATGATTAAAGGAGGCATTTATAGTCCAAAGGCTGATAACAGAGCACTGTCTGCAAAGAGTGCGCAGGACCCCTGTATCTGTACTGTTTATTTACAGGGTAGAACAGCCCTTAAAACCTAGGTAACTTTAAGAGCACTAACTCTCAGTTCTTCAAGGGCAGTTATGAAACAGCTGCCCCTACAAAAGCTGGATAGAATATGAGACTTGACCCAGGTCACCAAAGGGAAGAATCCAGCATCTTTAACTGCTCTGAAATTCACTTTCCTCACCTGAAAAGTAGATAGGTGGTAATAGCATTGAGCTCAGAGGGTTGCTGTGAGGTTTGTAGGAGATATGATTTAAAGTTTCTGACACATGGCAGGGACCTGTTGTTATGTTGTTGTTATTTGCCATCGAGTCGGCCCCGACTCATAGCGACCCCTCCTTGGGTTTCCAAGGCAGTATCACTACGGAAGTAGGATTGCCCAACCTTCCTTCCGAGGAGTGGCTGGTGGGTTTGAACCACCAGCCTTCTGGTTAGCAGTCAAGTGCTTTAGCCACTCTGCTACCAGAGCTCCAGGGACCTAGTACAAGTTAATTCACAAATCTGAACAAAGAGCACTGATGGGCTAGCTTTGAAAAGTGTATCAGAAGACAACGTTTTTGCAAAAATAGGTGACTTGAAAAAGTATATATACATATTTGTCAGATTTCAAGAGAAAAAGGATTATTTACCTCTTTAGTCATCTCACGATCACTGTTAAAAACTTAGACTATACAGATAAAACTTAAAAATATAAAGTACTTACACAAAATTATGTTTTGGCATATATATGCGTGCAGACATCTTTCTATGTGTAAATAAAAGTATAAAGGGTCGTTTTTCCCCTCCCCAAAGTGGTATGTTGTATAATCGGCTGTCTTTACTTAACATTATCTCCTGCCAAGAAAAAAGCATCTACCCTGTCATTGGCAGTGGCTACATAGTATTACACTGTACTGCTGCACATAAAATATTTAACCTATCCCCTTATGATGCACACTTGATTTGTTTGCAATTTTTCACCTTTATAAATAACACTGTCTTATACTTTCTTGAATTGAAACTGTACTGAAGCCCTGCCATTTCTGGATTCATTGGATGCTGTATTTCATTGGGAAAAGAAGTTGGACACATATTCAGAGCTTGGTACAGTTTCTCTGGTTTTTATAAACAACTTAATCTCTACAATAAAAATTATTTCTATGAAGGTGTGTCAGAATCAACTATATATTTTTCCCTACCGTGTATTTTTAAAGACATTTCCCACGAAACTGCTTTGAAATAATCTTCAAAATAAACTATGCATATTGAGATTTTCAGGGAAAAAAAAAAAAAACATTTTCACAAAGGTGGTACTTTGTGATAAATTATTTTTCTTCTAAAATAACCACACAAAATGTATTGCTTTTCTTTTCCCTAGTTTGAGGCAATTTCACCCCTCATAGATGAGGTCTTATCGTAGTGTTTTCTACTTTTCAACCTAGGACTTAAAACCTCTGTCAAGAAAAAAATGGAAATAACCTAAATGTTCAAGGGCGTAGCTAAGCTAATTATGCATTAACACACTGAAACACTGTAGAATATCTATCAAATGTCTACAAAAATCTATGTATTTGACAAATACATGTGTTACATGAATCCATTAAAATGTTAAATGAATCAAGCAAAATATAAAATACGCCATATGTAATGCTTATTACACTAAGTGCAAATGTAGGAGTATATACTGCATCTGTCATTGGAATACCTGCAGGATGATAGTTTTAAATAAACTTTAAAATTTTTCCTTTAAGTTGCTTAAATTTTTCTTTCTCCTTTCTTTTTCTTCTTTTTTAAAGAAAACCTAACTTTCAGTTCCTAACAAGGTCTAAGTTTGTTTCTCATACTTTTTAGGTTAACACAAATCAGATCACTGCGGTAAGTTTATATTTCACTACATAAATGTGTGACTGATTTCATTTCCTGGCAGTGATATGCATTTGACTTAAAAAAAAAAAAAAAAAAAAAAGCCCAACTGAAATTCAGTATAAAAGCAAAGTTTTACACCCATCTGAAATGTGGGGTGCTTTACATGATTTTATTCTTAACCCGACAATGATTCAGAATAAAGGAAGGGGAATTTCTGCCTGAAAAGTCAGTGCATTCCCTCTTGTCACAAAAATGCATTTGCCCTATTTAGATGGTTCTAAGGCGTTTGGAAGGAGCTCTGGTAGCATAGTGGCTAACGCACTTGACTGCTAACCAGAAGGCTGGCGGTTCAAACCCACCAGCCACTCCTCGGAAGGAAAGTTGGGCAATCCTACTTCCATAGTGATACTGCCTCGGAAACCCAAGGAGGGGTCACTATGAGTCGGGGCCGACTCGATGGCAAACAACAACAACAACACCAAGGCATTTGGAACTCTGGTAGCATAGGGCCTAAGGCATCTGACTGCTAACCAGAAGGCTGGCAGTTCAAACCCACCAGCCACTCCCTGGAAGGAAGGTTGGGCAATCTATTTCCATAGTGATGCCGCCTCGGAAACCCAAGGAGGGGTCGCCATGAGTCGCATACGACTCGACAGCAATGGGTTTATGGAGTTCCTTTGCCAGGGCTTTATCAAAGCCATCAAAATAATAATAAAGATATAAATTTACATTCTGCTCTTCCTAACTTTGATCATACATGTAACTATATTATATAATTATACATACATTTAAAAAATTATATAAATCCTCAAATTTTCAAAATTAGATAAATTAGATAATAAAAGGCAATTAGCTTATACTGTCTTAAATTAAATATTAATTAAATGTACCCTTCTTGGTTTTCCTAGATACCACTCACAGATTTAAAAATGGATAACTTTACCTTGGCCTCTACAACTCCTCATGGAAATGACTGTGATCTTTATGCACACCACAATACAGCCAGGATATTAATGCCTCTTCATTACAGCATTGTCTTCATTATTGGGCTTTTGGGAAACATATTAGCCTTGGTGGTCATTTTTCAAAACAGAAAAAAAATCAACTCTACCACCTTATATTCAACAAATTTGGTGATTTCTGATATACTCTTTACCACAGCTTTGCCTACACGGATAGCCTACTATGCGCTTGGATTTGACTGGAAAATTGGTGATGCCTTGTGTAGGATAACTGCTCTTGTGTTTTACATTAACACATATGCAGGGGTGAACTTTATGACCTGCATGAGCATTGACCGGTTCTTTGCTGTGGTACACCCTCTGCAATACAACAAGATAAAAAGAATTGAACACGCAAAAGGCATCTGCATATTTGTCTGGACTCTAGTATTTGCTCAAACACTCCCACTACTCATAAACCCTATGTCAAAGAATGAGGATGAAAGAACTACATGCATGGAATATCCAAACTTTGAAGAAACAAAATCTCTTCCCTGGATTCTACTTGGTGCATGTTTAATAGGATATGTCCTTCCACTTGTAATCATTCTCATCTGCTATTCCCAAATCTGTTGCAAACTCTTTAAAACTGCCAAACAAAACCCACTCACTGAGAAATCTGGTGTAAACAAAAAGGCTCTCAATACGATCATTTTTATAATCATTGTGTTTGTTATCTGCTTCACACCTTACCATGTTGCAATTATTCAACACATGATTAAGAAGCTTCGTTTTCCTGATCTCCTTAACTGTAGCCAAAGACGTTCGTTCCAGATTTCTCTGCACTTTACAGTGAGCCTGATGAACTTCAACTGCTGTATGGACCCCTTCATTTATTTCTTTGCATGTAAAGGGTACAAGAGAAAAGTTATGAAGATGTTGAAACGCCAAGTCAGTGTCTCCATTTCCAGTGCCGTGAGGTCAGCTCCTGAAGAAAACTCACGTGAAATGACAGAAACACAAATGATGATACATTCCAAGTCTTTAAATGGAAAGTAAAAAGGAGCTAAATCTTGGATTTATAGCAAAATAAACTGTAATAAGAGTTTGCAAGTCTTACAAACCAAAATGATTTGTTTGACTTCCAATCAGGATTCTTTTAAAAAAGAAACTTTCATTATGTTCTGTGGTAGTTAAGTTGTGTGTCAACTTGGCTGGGCCTGGTTTTGAGTGGCTGGGCGGCTGGATGTAGTTGTTCCCCTTGATAGGCTGGTAATCACTTCATGGTGCAATCTACTGGAGCAGCTGAGTAGCTGCCTTAAGGATGTAGTCTGCTTCCAGTATGTAAGGAGAAACATTGAGAAAGGTCTCTAGCTTTTGGCAGGCTTGAATTCTGTGTGAAGCAGCCTGCCATGTTGTGTGCTGACCTTGGGACTGCTAATGGACTTGAATTAGTAGACTGTCATGTGGTGTGATAATTTTAGGACTGTGCCATTATATTTGCTGACCTTGGGTTTGTAAGCCTCAGCAGTCAGCAGCTGTCTGAGTAAAGAGACACCTCCAGCACCAGTGGGCCAGGAGCAAGAGGCTGAAGTGAAGCCACAGGTTGAGGGGCTTTCCTCCAGCCCCTAGAGCTGGCACTCTGACCTTGGATTTCTAGCTTCCAAAACAGTAAGAGAATAAATCCCTGTTTGTTAAAGCCACCCATTTGTGGTATTTTTTGTTAGAGCAGCACTAGATAACCATATCTGTTTTATTTTATTAACATATTCTGTTTCCCATCTCCAACTAGAAAGTAAACTAATCCATATTTTACAGCTCAAGAGATCATAAAGTAATGTTCTAATTTGTAAACAAAATAATATACCAAATGGGAGGCTATCTTAATAATACTAGGTTGTACAAAGAAAAGTTTTATGTCAATGAAAACTTAAGTTTTATTTCCTGCCAACAATCTGGCAAAACAAAAAAGACTGATTAGATTGTATATTGCCAATGTAAAAATGTTAATATTGTAAAATATTTCTTAAATCTATATTTCTTACAATTTCAGACTGTATTTCCTTAGTATACCAGTTTTTTTTTTTTTTTTTAATTATAAACCTTTGTTTCAAAGTACTCTTTTGGAATAAAGAGTAGAAAGCTACAAAATTTTGAGTTTGTCCCTAATGCTCACTGTCCATTATCAGCAAAAATTTCATAAAGAATATAATTAGCAATATACAGATTTGAATAGTAACATATAAACTACAGTGGTGACTAAGGCAATGAATGTATTGAGTTTTCCACTAAACAGTCCCCATAGTATTTAAGAGCTTAACAGTGTAGTATTTAAGAGCTTACTATTCAGAAACAGGACAGCAGCTTTACACAGAGGTATTCATTGGGAGGTAACGTCCCTTGGTGGTACAAATGGTTAACGCATTTGGCTGCTAAACTAAAAGTCTGAGATTCAAGTGTTTTCAGGCATATTATTTAACAAAGGCCTGGTGATCTATTTTCAAAACATCAGCCACTGGAAACTATGGAGTACAGTTCTATTCTGACACACCTGCAGTCACTGTGAGTTTGAATCAACTCAATGGCAATGGTTTTTTTTTAACTTGTTGGGAGGAAGGTTCACTTATGTTCTTGGGAATAAAGAATTTTATGCTTGGTTTTCTTTGTGTCTCTAGGGGATCATTCCTTTTTCAGTCACTGATTGGTAGTATCTTGTATCTGTATTTCAACAGTTGATTACCAGAAAGGAGACAAAGAGTGTCAGGGAATGCAGTTGCTGCTTGCCTAAAGAAGACTCATTTGAAGACAGATAGGGAAAAAAATGTATTATAAACTGAGAGACCCAAGAATTCTTTACACCATTACACACTCATTCAAAAGAATACCTAGCATGGGTAGCAAAACATTTGTAAGTATATATAGTCAACCTGTCTGCCAGTTCAAATTTGTTTTACCCATCCCCCAAATTTCCCCAACACAGTATATCGACAATGATACCAATTTTTATAATGGAACATGTTGTTGTTGTTGTTGTTGTTATGTGCTGTCGAGTCGGACCCGACTCATAGTGACCCCTCCTTGGGTTTCCGAGGCAGTATCACTACGGGAGTAGATTGCCCATATTCCTTCTGAGGAGTGGCTGGTGGGTTTGAACCGCCAGCCTTCTGGTTAGCAGTCAAGGGCCTTAGCCACTATGCTACCAGAGCTCCTTGTTGTTGTTGTTGTTATTTGCCGTTGAGTCAGCCCCGACTCATAGCGACCCCTCCTTGGGTTTCCAAGGCAGTATCACTACGGAAGTA